GGTTGGGCCCGCTTTGACAGCGTCATTTGCTTTTTCCTTTCTTGTCATCGCGACATAGATTTTTAGCCAGAACTCTCGAATTTCTCCGGTGTGGATGAGGGGGTTTGGCGCGAGTTCTGCCTAGCTATGGCATATTCGGTGAACTGAACAAACTTGCCCTGTGAGGAGCAGACTAGAACTATTGTCAGTTTGATGACCATGTCTTGGTTATCCAACCGTGCCCCGATATTGCTAGCAAGCCTGGCAATGGGGAGGTTCAGTGTAGCTCCTGCTGTGCAGATACCTGCAGTGATTTCCGCACCCAACATAGCTACTGAGAGGTTGAGTGCTAACGACTTGTTAATTGCACGGCTCGAGTATCGATGCTAGAGCGATTACATATAAATAAATTATTCAGTTATCCTGACTTGGCGCCTTGAGTCCGATGCAGGTTTTATAGAATGATATGTAATTTAAGTAGGATGACACGGGTTGACATTAAGAAAACTCGCACTCATATTTCATTTGCAAATACCACTCGAAGTTAACCCTTACAGAGTATAACCTCTTCCGTGCATGCCCACCAAATGGAAATGCGTGAAAGCCCTTTGGCTATCTGGGTATGCTTTTATCATCCCACAGCTCCAATATCACAGTGTGAGGGAGTGGTGTGTGGGTTTTACTGGGTTCGAACCAGCCTTCTCCTGTCTCGGATGGGATAGGTGTTCAAGCTTCCCAGTATCTACTTGGGAAAACGGCCCGGATGGTATACCACTGCACCATCCAGCCCTAGCGTTAGACGTTTCAAAGATAGTTTAGTTTCTCTATGTGGTTATTTGTATGTATCCTACTTTAACTATTTATTCTCTCCATTTTTTATCTAGAATATTCTTGTCTGATACAAGTTTCTAGAATTTGCTAGTTACTTCCAGATTGATCTACAGATAGATATTTATTCGTGACGGGCAATCGCTTAGCACTCGTAGAGCAGGAATCAGTAGAGGCCGATCTTTACCCGACGGCTATATACGAAGATAACTCAGTTTGTCAGTTGGATCACCCATGTACTGGGTACATTCGCTGATAGCACTCACTACGTTGGTGCTAGGTAATTTCCCTCTTCCCTCAACCGTGGATGTTCAAAGATAAAACGGGAAAACCTCTTTTCTACCATAACATACCTTTGTAATATCGTATATAGCCGCCGCGCGAGATATGGCCTCACAGCCCACCCTTTCTCGAGTGAGGTAGGTGTTCAGGCTATCCAGACTTGAATTCGGGGAGATGACGACCACGAGGCAGACCACAACATCTCCATTGTTGACTCTTCTGAAGGTGTTGGTGAACTATCCGAATCGTCGCCTCGGCGCCCACAAGTACCCCAAAGTCGAAAACACTCGAAAACTATGAGTCCCGGGATGCCCATTTGTGACCCCTTCACTCGCTCGTCCTACGTCCCAGCTACCTGTTATCCCTCAAGATGTAAAGCCCCATTAGAGCAACGGTCCCCCATTAACCAACCCCCGAGCTTTGTAGATTATGACTTCGTTTCCTCCTTGCGGAGATACGTATTGTCATTAATATGTAGTGCAAGTTGGCTGGTAACTGGTGGGGCAAGCTCCCGTTTGCAATTAGAACAACCCCTTTATCGGTCGTCGAAGCGAGATGATGTGTGGTTAGAAAGAGGTGAAGGACCCAGATCAAGACCGCAAGATGAGCATTGTTGAGAAGTCGCCAAATGGAGATATGCTTGATGTTGCTTTCGACTTGGACTCGATTGTGATTCTTTTTGGCTATGCTAGATATGCAGATCATACTGAGCCATTACACTGGCACGGCTGGAGGGTGAAGAATTCGTCTTTGCCGGCAATGGTCCCTAGTATTGGCTGTACAGGGCTATATTATTTATGGACTACAGATTATGCATGTGAGATAGGGGTAATGGGTTGGATTTTATTCCGGCCTTCACATACGAAAATTGATGTTTTATTACAATAGGATAGACCTGCATTTTATTAAGAGTCTAGTTGGGTAAGCGGCTTAGAAGACATACAGTTCAACATCGAGCCACGAATTTTTAGGGTGACTATTCTCAATGCCTGTCAATGGTGTCCCCTACGAACCTCCAGCTCTCACTGTAGAGTCTGCAGAGCCGAGATTGAGTAACACATTATCAACTTTGAGCTGAGTTATCTCCTCCCCCGTCAAAGATACGCTTCCGATTACACATTAGACGACCAAGACGACGATAATGATGCTTGGAGTGAGGAAAGATAATGCGGTACCAAACGCTACAACGGTAGTCAGAGAAGCCCTCGTTATATCACAATATGAGCTACCCACCGGCGGGCGAACAAAAAGCCCACGAAAGCAAAGTTAAAGACCCTTCCGCCCTCAAGAAAAGCAGATTTCGACTCGTCTACAACATCGTCCCTACTAATCTATACCTCCGAATCTACTAGCCAGGAGGGCATCTGAAATACAAGAGTTACTTGACAACCCTACTTCAGTAACGACTTTTGGATGCTAGGCTAGGCTCCTTCACGACAGTCACTCTCGACCATGATTTTTCTGATATCTTTTCACGACCTTTGGTTTGTCCTGCAGCATGAATCAAGAGAGGAGTAAGGAGGAGGCTAGGAAGGTTGAGAGACGCTCTTAGATATACATAGGTCTGCTGCGGCTGGCTGGCCGGCCTCTTCATCATAAGAGAGCCCTGCAACCAGTGGTTTTGGAGACTTTACCCAGCAGCTACATACCCGCAAACGGCCATCGTTTTGTTAGTTTGAGAGGGGGGATAATGATGGGATAACGGCTCCTCTTAGTGTGTACACGAATGAAGACCTGTGGGGGTGTTACTGCTGGAAAGAAGTCGTGAGGGAGGCAAAGAAGGGAGTACACTATCCGAGGCATAGACTCTCCCGGTCTGTGAGCAGAAAGGACCTACATATTCTTACATGGTTGTATACTTTTTAGGACAATAAACACCCACCCACTCACTCACTCACTCACATCCCTGATGCCGACCGTAACCAAATTGGGCGATTATTTTGGAAGTAGGGACCATGACAAGTTAAACACCCGTTTCCAGCAAGAGATTGTGGGTAAGTAGAGACTTTGGAGACTGTGGATGATGTACAAACCGAAATAGCACTGTAATCCGCTCTATCCTATTTCGTACTTTTTCTCGAGACTTTCGTTTTCCCCCTGCCCCATTGAAGGAGGGGTTGCTAGAGAGCTTAGTTTCTCTTAATGCAACTCGGAAAAAAAATATGTAGCCCGATTTCTGCGGTGCGCTGGTTGATAAACTGCAGTGTTGTTTCGTAAAGCTCGTTATCACTACTTGACTTCAAAATATGTATCATTTACCATTCGCCAATTATGTTCTCGGGTTTCAGTATAATAATCTGAGCCTTTAACCTTCTCATCAGCTCTACGTTTTCGTACATCCCCATCGTCTTTCGGTTTGTGATATTGAAGAATTTGGTAACAAGATAATGGTACCACGTCTCGTTGTTTCCTTCATACTTCTCCACCAAAGCGTAAAATTTAACCTTTGGATGCTTAAAAGCTTAGAGTATAGAGCGATAAGTAAGATTCACACTCTAACTTATTTTCTGCGTCGTTTTTGCGTGAAATAGCCTGGTTGTTGGGTCAAACTTTCCCAGCTTTGAAGCTTCCTTAGCTACCGTTTCAATGAGGTCGATTTGCTCATCAATAATAAAGCCACTTGGCAAATCAATCTTCCAATCATCAAAATCATCTTCTCCTGTGAGAATAGTTCCACCATATTTCTGTATTGTAGCAATATGGATTTCTTCGTGAGTTAATTCCTTGGCTCGACAAGATTCTCAAAATTCGCGCTGGACAAAAAGTACCTGGCTTGTAACCTGTTGTGATGAATTATTCGATTAGTTACTATCTCTGAGAACTCTAGGGAGAGGCATCTAATTATACATAGTGCGCTAATTTCTACATGGGTATAAATACTCTCAAACTACCTAGATGAGTGGTAGCGGCGTGGCGATCATCTACAGAAAGACTATTTCGTTGAAAGAATGATAGACGATGTCACCAAGATTTCCTATCGACAATCACCGTTAACGCGTTGTGCTGATGTACAGTGATTGGGATGGTGATCCGTAGGTTGGGACATGTGCCATTGCAGAGATTTACAGTTCGGGATGGGGCCTGCATCTGCATCTGTAGCTTAGAAAGTATTTGTCTTGAAATATGCAGGGTCTTATTCTTAGTTTAATGTAATCAATTTGACCAAGTTAGATTAAATAAAAATCAGCACGACGTCTTATTGGCATCAATCAAAATTCCGACTTTCTGAGTCTGAATTACTTTTAGCCTTGGTGCACAAATGAGAAGGTCTAATACGAGTAATTTCATAATTCTAAGACATGGTTTGCAAATCATTAGTTTGTCAGGTTAATTTTCAGACTCCAATTTTTTGTCTCTGTATTCATTGTTCTGTGCACCCACCCACTGGCAGACTTTTGACGCCATATTCAATTACAAAATTAACAGGATCTAAACTGGAGGTGATTAATTTCAAATGTGTACAAAGAGCTATGAGAATGTGAAATGTACTACTTTTATTATAAGTATAATTTCCCACAAAACTTATTATCATGGCTTAGGGTTAGAACTGATAACTGATTGCTGAATTTGATTCTGGTGCGTGATTAATTTTGTTAGGTTTTTCGAAAACTAAAGATTTTGATTTTTAAGAGAAAATATCTCGCAGAAATACGAGGCACTGTGAAATTACCCTGAAGACCTCAAGTAATAGATCGGCGTGGTTCATGCTGTCCGATTCTGGAACTACACTTGCACAAGATATATGTCATTAGAAAATGCATTATCGCGGTGATTGAATACATCACTACAGTTGCCGAGATAGCGGTAGGCCAGCGCAGCCTACTCAATATGCGCCCGGGTAGTTTCCACATGATCTTAACACCCTTTAGTGTCAGCCTAGGAGCCAACGAAAACATCAGTTATCCTCCATAATGAGTAATAAAATACAGAAGGTTATTGTCCGATTGCAAGAAAAGTAAGTTGTAAATTCTATTGGTCTAACATAGGCCAACTAATTGCCACAGGATTAAGGAAGGTCAGTTTTATGAAGCACAGCAGCAGACTCGTGTTGTCGCTGCTCGCCATGTCAAATCTAAAGACTGGGCTTCAGCCATCGATATTTTATTCAATGTTGCCCAATCACTTCTTAAAGCAGGTCAAGGGGGGAGCGGAGGTGATCTAGGCATCATGCTTGTCGATGTATACAAGCAAGCAGAGCTCAAACCCGACTTTAGCAACAAAAGCAAACTAGTCACTCTTCTGCCACTTTTTGACTCTGAAGAACCCACAAGGAAAAAGTTTATAGGGGACATGATAAGGTGGGTCCAGAATAAACAGTTCGTGGCAGTAATCTAACCAGCTACAGTTGGTCCTCCAAGTATGGAGAATATCCAGCTGGTGATCCAGACATACATCACGTTGTGGGCTCGCTCCTCGCCGAGGAGCACGATGTCTATGAGGCGGAACGACATCTCACGTTAGGCACAAGAGATTCTCCTGAGGTATTTGCAAAACTAGAGTTTGAATGGTATTTACAGGATGATTCTCACACGGCAGCTCTATACGCAGCCCGTGTTGTTTTCGCATATTTACTTGCAGGAAACGTTCGCGATGCGAATAAGTCGTTACAAACTTTCACAGATACTTTGAACACAGCTCGACCCCAGCTGGATGTTAGGGAAGTCAAAGGCCTAAGTTTTAACCTGCAGATATACCCTAGTATCCCATTGCTCAATTTCCTAGGCCTACTGTTACAGGCCATTCAGAAGGGCAGTCCGGATATTTACCGAAATCTCAACCAAAAATATTCTACGTATATCAAAGAAGTAGGGCTGTGGGATGATACTCTAGCTCTTATAGGAGAACTTTACTTCGAGGTTCCAAGGCCGAGGAAAGGTAATCCTATATTTGATATGATGGGTAGCATATTCGGTGGAGGAGCTGCCAAGCCACAACCTAAACGGGTGGGAATCCAAGAAACTCCAGTCGCTGATAGTCTTGACTAGGATAGAAAAGCAGAAAGTCATGTCTTACTATTGCTCGTTTCCCAACTAACAGTGTAGAAATTATGTAAGTGTAGAATTAGCCCTTTCTCCGATCATTATGTAGTAGAATCTTCATCTGCTTCATAGCGCCAGTTATCTTCCGATAATGCTGCTACCTTAGCTTTAAGGCTCGTCATAACAGCTTCAAGTAAAACTATCCCTTGATCAGTGAACTAGATGACATCAAACATAATAGATTTATTCTTACCTGCTGGTTCAGACGAAACCCAGTCTCTGTCTCTTTGATGATTTTTGAACGCATTGATTAAGTGTAGTCTTTCTTCTAAAATGGAATCAGCACCAATTCAAGATGCATAGCCCATTTGATATAGAGCCTCACCGTCTCCGGGGTCGGTATTGCTATTTTCGTGATTGTTCAGTTGGGACTGTGCAGATATGTCCTCCATCAGAAAGTCCCCGTTATGATCACGTACCACTATTTCTGGGTTAATCGACGGAGTTTCTGTTCTAAGATGAAATGTTTCCGATAATGTCACATTTGAGCTGGAGTTACTTGTTGGGCGACGACTAAGGTGTTGGTTAAATAGGTTCCTACGAACTTCTATGCCGCGTTGGGTCGCGCTGCTGGTTGCTCCTGCTCGAGATTTGGACATATTTACCTTTCGATTTCGGGGGATAACTGGCAGTATATCGCTTTTCGTTCGGCGAAAGCAAGGCTGGCTAGCCTGGATAAATATGGGCAAAGGTGATAGTTGAATAAATGCCCGTAATGGTACTTTAATTTAGTATCCTTACAACGCAAAACATTATCTCAATGGCAGCAAGAAACGTTTTTCAAATTAATCCAATATCTCGATTTGACAACAAAAATGTGACGATGAAACGCCCCAAAGTAAGCTACCAGAACTAGAGCATTAAAAAGAGCCTACTACTTCTCTCAGTCCGTAACCTGAAATAATGCTTATAAAAAGTAGGAATTTGCGTGCTTTTCGTACGATGATCAACATCAATATATTCCAGATGACTCGTCCCTAAAATATTATTACCCACCCACAATTGGAGCGGATCTTTGTCAAGGCTTTGACAACTTTCAAAAATTTGATGAAAGCTCTGATAGACATCTAGACAGTATTCTTAAGGCAATTATTGATTACGAGAAAAAATCAGATAGTAGGATCGAATCAGATTTTGTCACTTGGCGGGGAATGATGACGAAGGTTATTCATTCCAATAATCTATATCTACGAGACTCTTTCTCATGAAGTCCTAGCTAGCAGGTGCAGTCTATAGTAACCGCGACGGGTAGGGAAATCTGTACGAAAAAGTTACCCCAGTCTCAGTCTTATTAACCCGAGAGGATAAGATTCGAAATGAACGCAACATTATTTCAGGTTGAGTCTCGCTTGTAATCAAAATGATATTCTACAGAGCTAATGGGCGATATTTAAAGGATACCATGTAGGCTGTGAAGCAAAACTATAATCATTTGTTGATCAAGTCGAATCTAGCTTTATCGAAGAGAATCACATTTACAAGCTTCAGTTACAGTCGAAACAGTTCGAAACAGCAACACATCCAGGGAGACCTTCGCAAGAAATGATGAGTTACTGGGGCAAGTCATAAATACCACAAAGTATTACAAGCTGACAAGTGGGAGGATACAAGTTTGAGACTCTTTGCCTTTTGCCTCAGCCTTGGAACGAGACTTCACGAGAATTCATTGAGAATCGGGAAAATGAAACCGTAAACAATTTTGAGCAATACTGTTCGATTGTCCGAACGGGTTTGGGTAACACAACGATTACCTTGGGCGGCGAAGTGGACGGAAGTATCTTTTACTTATGTTGACTATTGTATCATATGCTAAAAATAATAGTCTGGGACTCTAAACCTACAAACTGCGACAAGCCAATCAACTGGGTTGAATTAAAAACAAGCGTTGAAATCCAGAGTAGGAAAGATTTCATCAACTATGAAAGGAAGCTGATGAAATTCTGGATCCAATCCTTCTTACTTGGTGTACCCAAAGTTATTGTTGGCTTTCGGACGCCTGATGGTATACTTACTCGGATTGAAGAAATAGCGACTGAATCAATACCACGTATGGTGAAGACCCGAGGGCACAACACTTGGGATGGGAACGTGTGTCTAAACTTTGCTGCTGAATTTCTCCGTTGTATGTTCAATTCTGATTCAGTTTGTCCTGACGAAGCTGATAAAAATAAGTTCTTCGGACAACGATAACAGAAAAGGGTGTCTGGCGAATTCGCCGACAAGCCTTTCGTCATGAAATAGAAGTATTTCAGGTTTCTGAAACAGGTTTTGATGGCATCCTCTCAGACGAATTCATCACATGGCGTTCAAGCATTACTGGGAACAAGAATGAGCTTGAATACCCAGCATAGCTCTTTCTATAATTGTTCTGTTGCTTGAGCGTTTGAACATAATTGAATACATTACCAGAATCCCAAATTCCGACTTTTAAAAACTAGATTCTAGTTCATAAAATAGCGTCAGCCGACGTTACTGAAAATCAGTACCAGCTAAACTTATCATAAATTTGATAAGGCATTTTTGAGGAAAAATTTGTAAGCTAGAGAATTTTCAGTACAAGATAGGCTTTTCTATTGTGTTTGAAGGGACCAGAATATTTGCCAATACTACTGATCAGGTAGCCAGGTACAATGGCCCGAATGCCGTAATTCTCGAATTTTTTGGGTCGAATTGTGACGGGCTAGGACTTTCGGCCAATGCACGAAAGCAATGCCACGATAAAATGTTTATATTTTCTGAGGAAGTGAGAAGGGAGGAGCTACGGATCCTTATAACTACAATGCCTGTTCCAGATCCCCTGGCTATTTACACGTGATCTGATAGCAATCCCGTACAGTGATGTGCAAGAAGTGTATATGTTACATTATGAGGGGGACTATTCTCAAAACCTGTCAGTGGTGTCCCCTACGAACCTCCGGCTCTCACTGTAGAGTCTGCTGAGCCGAGATTGAGTAACAAAATTCCTCACTTCAACGAGGATTCCCAATCGCTTTCGCCGTCTGTATCTTCTTCATCTCTCAACACATCCCCCTATCACCATTATCATGAAGCTAACCACGATCAGATCAGATGGTAGAGTCGGAGCCCTACTCGTCACCAACCCTTGATCATGGAGGAAAAGCCATCCGATGAGTTTCCGGAGCGTGCCCAGCACCCGATACGGCGATGGTGGATTGGATCAAGTCGGCCTCTACTGTTACAAAGACGGGAGATATAGATGAATATGCGCACCTCATGTCGTCCCAGCGTCTAGGCCTCGCCTGGCTGGGGCTGCAGGTTTTTTGAGACTTTTTCCCACGCACGCAGTTTCCATTGCTACCTTTTTATTTTTTTAAGTAGAAGGTTCCGTGGAAAGGTGGCCGAATTCCACGGGTGAACACTGAGCTGAATAGCTATTCATCAAGGGGAATATATCGATGATATTTCGAGTAACAAAAGAGGATAGGAGCACTGTACATGGTGTTGCCTGGGTCAGAGAGGAGTCCAATGTGCTAGATAGTCATAGACTCAAGTAGTACAATAAAAACACACGCTCACTCAACAAGTGTTTATTGTGGATGGTAGTTGCTTTCCTGGAAATTTCAATTGTATATTGTATATAACCAGCCAACTCTTAAGGAAAACATGGGAAGCTTTTAAAGATGGTGTTCAGATAATGAATTCATACCCAATTGATTCAGAGAAGTGGCATTAGAGAACGAAAATAGACTTATGGCAAGTCCTTGATAAGAGATACATTCTACTTGATACTACCCAGATGGCAAAGAATGCCTTAGACACACTTTACCAAGACAAACGTGCTTATGGAGATTATAGGCCGACTTTGATCATTATATAGAAAGGGCAAAATAAGATGATCGAACTAAAGTGGACCTCCCTAGAAAACGAATTAATCGAAAGATTACTGGCGTTATTAACAACCAAGTAAATTTTCCTGATTCAGACAATTATACTGGGTGGAGTGATATGATCAATAATATTGCTCGCAATATCAAACAACAGGAGCACATCTTCATGTTGCAATCTTCATCTAACTCAATGCAAGAGAATTACCACCCAAAAGACGATTTATTACCTCATGCTGGACCATCCGATTCTGAAGATTCAATGGACCTCAGCCGCATTTCAATATCAAGTGCTGGGCGTAAATTTCGAATGGAAAACGGCTTATGTCTTGCCTGTGGTCAAACTGGACACATGGCCAAAGATCATCATCGCAAAATTGACCCAGTGCCAATGCCAAAACGTTCTACTAGTCAATAGACATCTCGTGAGAGAAATGAATATAAACAATTCCCTACTTTTAATACTCATGATCTACCCACCACTAAATATTTAACACCAGAAACTCAGCCCTTGCCGATTCCGATGATGTAACATCCTCCGCTTCGATTTCTTCCCAAATACTATCATCAGTCACCATACCAATTCTCAAACTCACAGCTTTTATACCCCGACGCTCCGGTTCAATCTCGTCTGAGAATGTTAAATGGAAACCACGGATTTGAAGAACATTGTCAATCTCAGAATTCGGGGGATATAAAACAAGCTTTTAGAAATTGTGAACAGTTAAAAGACCAACCCCTAGCTTAAGTCGCTGCCAGGGGTACAATTGGTATGGAGATGAAGACAAGACTATCCAAGATATATTGATGGATAATTCCACTTTGGAATTATGCTCAACAGATTCCTCAAATTCGATGCTTCTTTGCTCTTCTCTCTCTAACCCGCGCGCAAATAATTCAGTTATTTTTCCCACGACATGCTTGATTGATGGTGGCTGCATTGCTATGGCATTTGCTGACAAAGATTCTATTGTTAATCGATTTGGAATAGAAACAAAGCCCCTCTATACTCCACGATCTATTCGCTTGGCCGATGGCTCTATAGAAGCCTCTATAACCCACTACTTTACATTCCGTTTGCATATTGAGCAACACTCGGAGATTATTGTCTATTTTGTTACTAACCTAAGTAGATGTAATCCCATAATTCTTGGCCTGCCATGGCTAAAATTACACAACCCTAAATGTGATTGGAGCTCCTTGAGCCTTACTTTTAGTTCCTTACATTGCCGACAACACTGCCTTGATTGGAAATACCTACAGTCCAATCCCTCACAGCAAGTAAGATCGCTTACAGCAATCTCATTGTCAGATAAGACTTTGTCAATGCCTGTTAGGCACAAGCCACTTCAAACTGCTGCACCAGATAATTATGAAAATGAATCTTTCCTTCCGAATTCCAACAACCCTGATACACTAACATATGAAAAATAAACGATCTTTACTACCTGCAAGGATGATAATGAATTTGATATCTTTCAAATTTTTCCTAGCCTTGATCATCCTGATCGTCCTGATATTTCAGATCTTTTACATGGAAAAGTGATACAGAGTGATAATGATAAATTTCTCCAAGATCACCCCGAATTAAAAACAGATGCAATAAAGACTATATTACCACTTGAATTCCATCATCACACCAAACAATTTCTACCAAAGAATGCGGACTCTCTCCCACCACATTATCCTTGGGACCATAAGATTGAACTTGTCCCTGGAAAACAAGCACCTTATCGTAAAAGTGGGCCCTTCTCTCCAGCAGAGTTGAATTGTGTCAGGAAATAGATTGACGATATGTTGGCTAAAGGTTTCATACGTGAATCTTCCTCGACAGTTGCCGCGCCTATCCTCCTCGCTGCCAAACCAGCTAGGGGAAAACAAATATGTCAAGACTATCGCGGCCTTAATGATGTTACCATTAAAAATCGATACCCGCTCCCCCTGATCCGTGAGACTTTAGATTCCATTTCAAGAGCTAGATATAATACTAAGCTAGATGTCATTGCTGCTTTTAATCGTATCCATATTGCCGAAGGACATGAATGGATGACTGCATTTACTACATGATTTGGCTTATATGAGATGCTAGTAACACCATTTGGTCTGTGCAATGCCCCTGCAACTTTTCAGAACTACATCAATCATATCTTACATGATGCACTCGACAAATACTGTACAGCATATTTGGATAATGTTTTAATTTACTCAGAGACCAATTAAGAACATACCAAACACGTTAATGATGTAATACGTCGACTCGGTGATGCAGGATTACAAATTGATATCAATAAATCAGAGTTCTATACCACAAAAACCAAGTATCTTGAGATAATTATCTCCACTGATGGACTAAGTATTATTGAAAGGCTATGCTGAGCTGGAATGACGTACCGTTAGGATGAAGGTATGGAAGGAGGTAGCTATGGCTTTAAGAGAAGTAAAGTTCGTGAGTTATACTCTTAGGACTTGGATCAATGGACGAACTTGAGGATGTTCCCTAGTATTCTCAA